GTGTTCGATGGCGTCGCTGACTGTTTTCGATGGTTGGCGGTGTTAGGGCTCACTGGCGGAGAGAGATGGGGGAGATATGTATGGTGTAGTTGGCAGGAGGAAAAAAAAGAGGGAGAAAGAAGAGTATACTATTTTCGATGTTTTACAAAAATGTCGCCCAAAAAGTAGATTGTTATTTTTAAATGTTTTTATTTACGAAAAAATTTACTATTTACAACGTTTGCTAAAATGTTGCGAATTGTTATTTTTAATTTTTTTATTTACAAAAATTTTACTATTGGCGCGAAAAAAACAATTAGATTGCTATTTTTTAATTTTTTTATTTACAAAAATTTTACTATTTGCGACGTTTTCCAAAAACATCGAAAAAAAACAACTAGATTGTTATTTTTAAAATTTTTTATTTACAAAATTTACTATTGGCAACGTGGCGACGTAACGTCGCAAAAAATAATTAAATTTGCAATTTTCCCTGTCAGTAGAATTAGGAGAGTGTCACCTTTTGGTGACGTTTTCTGAAAACGTCGCAAAAAATGTCAAAAATTGAAATTTAGAATTTATTTTGCTTTAAATGTTAAATTATTTATTTTAGCGACGATATAAAACTAATAGCGACGAAAAATATTTGTCGCAAAAAATTGTCAATTCCCGACATTGCTCCCGCCAAAAAACTATTAGGCGGAATCGCCTTTTCACGACGTTTTACAAAAAACGTCGCAAAAAACTTGCCAAAATAGAAATTTGCGATAAAAATATAAAAGCGTCGCTAATACTAAACTTTTTGCGACAAATTTAAAATTGTCGCAAAAAAAGTTTTTCGTTGTAGTGTGCTCAATTATCTATCTCTCACTCTCCAGTGCAATAACTGATAGGAGAACACCACCATATGACCCTTTCAAGTGACACTCATCTAGTCCTATGAATGATCTACAAGTAACCATAAACCTTGTTGTAAGAGCATGAAAAGCAACAAGACTTCTAGGATTACTCCTCATGATTTCATTCCCATACATTCTTATCATCTCATATGCCTTTGAATGGCTTCCCTCGATGTCTTCTAAAGCATTCCTTTTAGTCCTGCAACACTTTTGTATGTCAACCTTAATGTGCAACTTAGTGTTGATTGTTTCTTACTGTGAATCCAATTTCATTTTCGGATTACTTCTTATTTTAGTTAGGCTAATTTCTTCGCAAGCCATGTGGATGTTGCCTCAGGACTGAATGTATTTCTCACACGTGTGGGGACCTCTTAAAGTCTTAAATTATAGATAACATAATCTGAAAGTGGTGATGCACGGATCCTCCAACTGCAGCCACTATTACCACAATGACATGTAACCCTTGTCCTCTCATTTTTGTCTCTAACTAATAGAAATCCCTCCTGGACTACATTGTCTTTTAGAATATCCCTGAAGTAATGGATATCCATAAATAGCTAGCCATCCCATCAGGTTGCCTTTGAAACTCCCTCCCATATTTATTAATGTCAAATGCCCTAGCATTAGCCCCCATTCTTGCATTTTCTGCATTTATGATCAGACTCTGAGCTAGATTGGTTAAGATCATCATCACCAGATTCATAATTCGATAGACCATCATCATGGCATACTTATGCCCCTCTGGTACAATCATTATTTGTGTTATGATTTTCTTCTTCGTAGTCTTCATCCTTTGACCTTAATCCAAAAACATCATCACTTTCATAGTCATCACCCATTGCCCTAATCTCCATTTCCTTGATTCTCATTAGCATAACTCTGATTTTCATTGACCTAATTACTATTGCCCTGATTTGCATTTAATTGACTATGAGCGATTCCATTCAATTCAAATGTTTTGTCTCTTACAACAGTTTCAGTTCCTTCTGTAACAACTTATACATTTATATGTTCTTTATTTCTATGCATATCAAACACATCTCCTTCAAATCATTGTCATCATCCACCAACCTTTTGCTATTAGAACTAGACACATCATAGCAAAGTTTAAAAGGTAAACATACAGAATCAGATGTGTTTGACAATATGAATACATCCGATAATAAGTGTACATGGCAATGCCTATTTGGATCAACTTTTTGTACTAAGAACTGTTGGTCATCATAATGTATGATCAAGTCATGAAGAGTCACCGATGTATTTGACAACATGAATACATCCGATAATAAGAGCACATGGCAATAGCTACTAGATCAACTCCTTGTACAAGAACTGTTGGTCATATGATCAAGTTATGAAGATTCACAGTCATGTCTATCCATTAATAAACAACCAATTAACATAAACCGTAATCCATTCGATTTAGAACTCAATACCAATAACAACAATAAATTTGTATTTAAATATTTCTTAATCTGAAAAAAACCTTAATCCCAAAAAAAAAACCTAATTCAAATTAGAAACTAATACCTAATAACAACAAAAATTTGCATTTTCTAACATTTCGTAATTTGAAAAAAAACCTTAATTTGGATAAATCCTAATCCTTAACAAAACCCTAATTCGAATCAAAACCCAATACCCAATAATAACAATAAATTTGTATTTTCTAACATTTCATAATTTGAAAAAAACCCTAATTTGGATAGGACCCTAATCCTTAAAAAAAAACCCTAATTCAAATTAGAACCCAATACCTGATAACAACGAAAAATTAGTTAAAAAATGTGCAGCCAACAACAAATGAATGTAAAGGAGTGCAAACCTAATCAGTCTTTGATTCATAGAGCTTCTTTAGTCTTTTCGATTTACAGAGGTTCTTCAACGTCATCGCTTCACGAATCTTCTATATTTTTTCAAAACCTTTTTACCCATATTAGGGAGGGGTGTGAAAGGCAGTGATCATGCTCACCAAACAAATGGTTTAAAAGAGCTTTGGCTCTAAGTTTTTGTGGGAATGAGAATGAGCTTTGGCGCAAAGTGTGGTGGGAAACAAAATTGCAGAAGGTGTCATTGAATATATGAATAATTATAGAGCGTGCGAATTAAATTTACTTATGACGAATGTCATAGTATAATATATAAAAGAGAAAAGTTATATAAAATAAGTTAATTTAATTTAACTTAATTTATTAATCTAAATATATGATAACTATTGAATCGAGAGTAAGACCAACTAAATAGTACAATTTAAGTTAAAAAATTAATAATAAAATTTAATTATTAGTGGAGCCCACTATCAATTATCAATACTATAGAGTTTAAGTATCATTGCTCAACTCTCCTACGTGGGTCGTCTATACGTACAAACTCGCACGGATACTACTGAGCTTCTGGGATTTGTCTAATTAATTTCGGGAGAACGAGAGAATCAAAAGACTGTTAACTTGTGATAGGAAAGAAAGAGAGCGCACATAATAAGGTTCGTTTGATGGAAAATATGAAAATTTATTTGCCTTATATTTTTCCTTCTTTGTCATGTTGGTTTGATCTGTGATTTTTTTTATTTATGGATCTCAGGGTCTAATACACTCTCTCTCTCTCTCTCTCTCTCTCTCTCTCTCTCTCTCTCTCTCTCTCTCTCTCTCTCTCTCTCTACCAGCCCCTGAACCCACAACTTGGGGGTCAGAAATTCAGAACCACAACCACCAAGCTAGAAGGAAGGCCGGTATTAGGGTCCAATACATTAAAACCCTCTTCCTCATATTTTGTCATTGCAGAGACTACAGGTTTGTGATTCACATTGAAGATATAGAATTTGTACAATGGTATGAACTCTTTCTTTTTTCTTTTTCTATTTTTTGTCTCATTAATTTTTTTTTCATAAGGCCCAAATATAATTTTTAGACCTATCATTTTAATTTTATTTTTAGGGTATTAAATTTGAATTCTGTTTGCTAATATATGGCTGTTTTTCTTTGTGTTTGATATTTTTTTTAAAGTTGTTAATTCTCTTTTTGGGCATTAATTTGTGTTATTAATATTAATTTGACTTGTTTTTGCTAAAATATGTCTATTTTTCTTTGTTGGTGTTAATATTTGTGGATTATAAGCGTAGATAATTTGGTATTTTGTCCTTACTACTTGTTAATGTTTTTTTATGAGGCTTGAACTGTTACATTTGTGAGGGTAGCGATTGGCCTAATGACCACTATCTCGCTGTTGGACTTTAAAGTTGTGGAAATGTACATCGTCCCCTCCGCCGTCAGTGTCCGACCAAAAAAAAACTGTTACGTTTGCGACAGTGACCACTGTCCTATCTTGAAAAATCTTTGCCACTACAAAAGGCTTTACAGTTGGTAGTTTGAGTAACCTGTGGAAGAAAAAAATGGATTTAGGTAGTCGGATCAGAGATCATCGGGTTCAAATACTATCTGCATCTTGATAAGGGGGGGTGTATGGGCAGGGGAGGGCTACTCCCTTGTCTAGCCCAGTTGGTGGACGAAAAAGTGTTGCATTTACAAACAATAGGTCGTGAAATGTCGAATTTGTAATCTTATATATGATGGCATAAATGTTCCTCTTGGCTTGTTGCAAACGTGGCATTTAGAGGAATTTGATGTTTCAGGGTGAAACAAAGCTGCCGGGACAATTGTGTGGCATTGTGGTGGCTGAAGTAATACAATGATTGTTTTTAATTATACGGATTTTGGGAATCCAAGTGATTGCCCGCGTTGTTGCAACTAACAATGGTGACTTTCCAGACAATCTTATTGCTTTGACTTAGGTTCCACTTCTGGATTAGCAGTGTGAGCTCTTGGGTTTTAATAGTTTATCTAATCAGTGTGTTGAAAGTGGAGCTATCTCAGCAAGCCCATAAAGGGATTTCAAAATTAGCCTTCTCATGGACATATCATACTGAACAATTTTTCTAAACTTCCCCTTGATCAGAGATAGAGAGAGAGAGAGAGAGAGAGACTTACATGCATGCAATCATATACATCTGAGAATGAGAGACTTTTTGAATGAATAGATCAGGAAAACTCGATTAGAATTTGATTATGGAAGCCATGCATTTAGTTGTTTGAATTAAATCGGAGAGACGTGATTTCATCTCTTTTGATGAATGTGAACCAGGTAAATTGACCGAAGTTCAAACTTCTCGTGAAAGTGGACTTCATAAAATCGCTATGATGTGTTATTTATCCTTTTCGGGCATGTTTATTTTTAGTATAAAATTTAGATGATATAATGTTTTATATTTATTCTATTCCAATTCAATTGTATATTATACCCAGTGTTAAACTATAATCTCATCCTCCTCCTTATTTGTTTATCACAAATATTATATGTGTAATATCTATTTAAAAAAATCAATAATTGCGGCTAGCCAATGTAAAAGACAATTTTAAACTTTAAAAAGTCAAAAATTGCGGCTAGACTTTTATATGAGAATTGTACCAAAGGGCATTTCAGTCTTTTTAATTTATAATACCTATACCAAGAATATAATACCAACCACTAGGTGATATTCATTAAGACTTTCTACAAGAAATTATAGTTATTTTTCATAGCGGGTCGGTATTACGACCTAAAAAATAGTACTAACTATAAAATGTCAAATAAATAACGTATAATATGAGTCTCAGTACTATTTTTATAATATCACCTCCTTATACCACTCTAATACTCAAAACAAACAGCCCCTTCATTTATACTCGTATACTGCGATTATTGTGCATGAAAATTCCATTTTACTTTTGGTAATAATTGAACTTCATGAGAATGTTTAGAAGATGAATATCTTGACTCTCCGTTCCGTATATAGTTTTATTTTTGTTGAGATAAATTGTTTGACATATGCTTCCTGATTGAAAGGTACCTAAGGAAGCATTGAATTTATTCCTGGTCGTTCAAAAGAGCGCTGCATATGGTCTGGGAATCCAAGGACATAGGTCTAGAATGTGTTCTCTAGGATCTCTGCAATCGGGCAGAGCTACGAGGGTTTGCCATCCCTCATCCTCACACAACTAATGGCATTAGAGTTTATCACTTTCCTGTCAACTCAGCAAACTCCCAGTGGTGACCTTTAAATTTTGATAGATCATTAAGTTATCAAGTCCATGCACCGTGATTGTTTTCTCCTAGCTTGAATAGAGTGTCTTAGCCTCAAGACATTTTAGTTTATTCATATGAAATTCTGATGTCCACATTTTGAATCAGATCCTGATTTATGTCGGTTAATATTCAAATTGGATTTTATTCGATCTAACTAGAATTTATCCAACTGCAATCCCAAGTACTGTGGATCAGCCCAGAATAGGGCAATGTCTAGGTCTAAGATCAGCACGATGAGACTATTTTTCATCATCATTTCTTGGCTATATGCCAAACAGTTTTTCTTTGTCACCTACCTTTTAGCTTGAGTGATGTCCCCCATCAACCCATTTAAAATTCTAGGTTTTTTGGGTGCAACGTATTTGTACGCAATCTGAATTAGGGATATTGAATATGAGTTTAGGCATATTCTTCATATCACAACATTGTCATATTTCTCTAAAAGCAAAACCATCAATCTAGTAATATCAAAGTGCCAGCTGTTATAGGCCACTGGTCTTCATGTATATCGCTTAGCACTTCAACAATTCTTGGCTAATAGCTTCGGGACTATTTTTTTTCTTTCCAACTTCAGGTACTTCCTATAATAGCTTGTGCTTCAGTAGCTGCTGCTGCATGGGGAGGAAGGTATCTGATCAGGGCATGACAGGCATACAAAAGTTAGACCAGTTGTACCGCGAGGGTGTCAATTTTATAATGGTGGATTTGAACAGGTCATGACTAGACGTGATGCTGCATTAATACTTGGTTTGACATGTACACAGTAGCTAAAGCTTAGTGATGAATATTAGGTGGTGAGATTGGACTAATACTCAGGTTTGGATAATGCAATGAGGTCCGGCCTTGGTGACTATGTTAATACCAACTCGATGCTATAGTGTTATCTAGTGTTATCTATTGCCACATACTTGGTACTTACAAATACTATAAATTAGGTATATTAAATGAAATTTGATTGATATTTATATTCAAAATTATTAGAGTACAGTGTTTTGGTCTTTTTATATTTAATACCATACGTTAATGTATCATCCAAACAGTGTAATTGGGACACAGCCAGCCCTAGGCCTAGGCCACTTAGTTGGCCGCCTAGTGCCCCCAGTTTTTGTAAAATTTTGGAGCCCCCAAGTAGGAGTTTTAGTTCTGGCTAAATATATTTTGAATAGGCTGATTTGAAATAGTCCAAATTTTACTTACCTAGAAAATTGTTTCACTTGCGAGCTATTATAAATTGCTAGATTTCCTGTCAGCTATAGAAGATTGATAGACTTTTGCAACGAGGAAGATAGATATGACTAGTAATGTCTATCTCTTAACATTTCTCTCTTTCTTAGCGTTTAACTCTTAATATCTCTTTCGTCTATAATTGAGAATGCAGTAACACTATCAGCTGAAAAATCTTTTAGAATTAAGTATTTTTTTATTTATAGTTGATTTAACTAGTTCTTCGATCCAGAGTAGATTTGAACAATTCAAAATATATGAAAATATTTTTGATTTTGTTTTAAAAAATTAAAATCCTTAGATGATGATAGTGTGAAAAGTTATTGTCTTAACCTTAAAAAATTTTTGAAGCATGATTTATTTTCTGATATTTACGGTTTAAATTTATTTGAAGAACTGGTTGTATTAAGAAAAGTCTAACAATCTGAAATTAACACTTCAACAGAAAATCTAAATTATATAAAACGATTAGATTCTTTTCCAAATGCATGTATAGTTTTTAAAATATTGTTAACAATACCGGTAACAGTTGTTTTGGCAAAAAAAAATTTTTCAAAATTTAAATTAATAAAATATTATCTCCGATCAACTATTTCACAAGAAATAATAAATGGATTGGCTATATTATCCATTGAAAAAGATATATTAACAAAACTTGAATATAAAAATTTAATCAATATATTTGCATCTCAAAAAGCTAGAAAAATAGCTTTTAAATGAATATATTTTAATAATTATTGCCTATTAATAGGACCCCATTTTATATTCTCGCCTAGGACTGCCAGATTTGTTGGATCGCCCCGATTTGAGATACGATGAAGTGATATACCAATTACCACCACCGGTATGAATCGGATTGGAATCAATTGTCCAGTCACACACCATTTCGTACGTGAACCTAACTGTCACATATGTTGATCTTCACAATTTCACATGAATAGTATAAATTTATGACAAAGTAACCCAATTGACTCACATTGACATTTTTTTTTTTTGCCTCGCTTTGGTTTCAGGGATCGAGCAGCAATGGAAAAAATCAAGGAGGCTCACAGAAGAGTGATTGTGGCTAACCATCCAGACGCTGGTGGGAGCCACTATCTTGCTTCCAAGATCAATGAAGGTAAGGAGGTATTGACCAGAAGAACGGGGGAACGAGTCAGTATTCCAAGATCATGCTATGAATGCGGAATGCTTGATGGTCTAAATGAAAATTCTGTTGGGTGAAATTATGCTCATGTCAATTCATACTTTGTAGAAAGTTGGCTTTGTTAACAATGAGCTTGTTTGAAGTTGATTTTTTTGGGTGTGAAATAGAATTTTGAAAAGTAAAATGAAAAAGTCGGAATCAAAAAAGTTCTTCGAACTGTTTGAAGTGTTTCAGAAAAAACAGACTTTTTCTTGAAAATCTTGGATAAGTTCCATTTTTTAGCTATCCCTTAATATTGATAAAATTTGATTTTACTCAAAAAAAAAAAAAAAAACTGTTGGAAAAGCGGCCCAAGAAGGTCGGAGCCAATTGGACCAAGCTTTCTTTCCTTTGAAACCAAAAGAAATTGAGGGGTTTTCAACTAGCTACAACCAGGTCCAATATCTTGTTGTCATTTCTTTTTTGGCTTTTTGGTTTATTTTTTGTTCCTTTGTTTGTGTTTTTTTTTTCATTTGTGTGTGTGTTTATTTGAGAGAAAGTTTTTTTTTTTTTTTTTTTTGTGGGGGGGGGGGGGGGGGGGGGTGTTGTTAAAGGTTGGGTAAGCTAGGTTGCTCATTTAAGGGGATTGTGTAAATAACAGGAGTTCAACCAATCCTAGAAAATGCTGGCAAGAAATATCCTCAAGTAGTGTTAAAAGAAAGAAAGAGAGTGCAAAAACTCCAAGCCCACCAAATGATCGCACACTATTTCCTCTGTTAGAGGCCGGTAATCGATGGTGGATTTAGGATTTTTGTTTATCCTGTGCTAAGTTAAACATTCATTAGATTAACAAAATATAAATATTTTTTAATATATTATGTGGCCTAAAAATTTTGTTTTTTAATTGTGGCCCAAAATTTTTTTTTTTAATGTTGGGTCAAAAGTTTTTGTAATAGGTTTGAGTAAATTTTAATAAGTTTGGGCAGATAATATTGAGCTCAATTTTTTTTTGTTTTAAATGGGTTAAATTTTTTAATTTTTTTGGATAAATAATGTGGGCCTAATATAAATGAGGGGAACATACATAATATATTATATAAATATATAATACATATACCCTACTAATAATTTTTTTTTTTAGGGGGCCACTTGCCCATCCTGGCCCAGTTGTCCCTCTGCTCCTGCGTAATTCATTCCCTGTTTCGATCAAAATGGGAATATAAAACCCTGAAATTTTTTTTCTTTTCATGATTATTGGGGCTTAAGCCTTAATGACTTTGGAAAATTAGGCTAATGATTAGTGATTTGGTGAGTTGATACTAATAGTCTTGTATGAAAGTGATAATTTTTTTTTTTAACTCTGGGCTTCAGCCCACCACAGACTACTAACGAATCCGTCCCGGCCAATAATGTATGGGAAGATTTTAGAGATTATTAAAAGAATTTGGTTGACTTGATCCACATGGATTGCAGATAATTCTGCATGACCAAAGTTTACATTGTAACCATGTGTTTAAACTAGGCACGGTTCGCTGCTATTGAGAGTAATGTTACATGAATTTAAAAAGTAGACTTAAAAATTAGACTTGATAATTTCAATCATTGAATAGGTAGTGAGTCCCAGCATTCATGTGAGTTCAGGAAAAATCACAAGATGTAGAATTTACACACAAAATTACAGAAATTACAACATGAAATAAAATCAAGATACTTACAATACTAGCACTAAGTGGGCTACTAGTGAAAGAGGATAAGAGAGAAACTCTTCATTTGCATCATTATGAGAGATCTCCAAATACAAAGTTTCTCTCCTATCCTCTTTCACTACTAGCTCACTTAGTGCTAGTATTGTAAGTATCTTGATTTTATTTCATATTGTAATTTCTGTAATTTTGTGTGTAAATTCTACGTCTTGTGATTCTCCCTAAACTCACATGAATTCCGTACTTTGTTGTATTTTGGTATCAGAGCCAAATGACGGCCTGGATAGTTACTCATGCAGTTATATTTGAGTCTTCTTACTTGTTCTAGATTTTCCAGCTTCAATTAGTAAATCAGTTTTAATTTTAATTCACCCTAATCACCCAACCTTTGTCTCCTAAGAGAGAATATTCGATCATTCCTATTTTCTAAGTCATTGTGTAGGCAGTTCTAGGGAAACCAAATAGGTTATGAGGGAATATGTATGTTAAGGGGTATGTATCATGACATCAAATATTAAAATTAATTTACAAAATTGAAAAAGTTTAAATCTAGCAATGAGTAAATTATTCAGATCTAACTCTATGGCTAGCTTATCTAGATCTTTATTAAGCACTATACCTAATATAGTAAATGAAGAAGAACATGAGTTTGGAGAAATAAGAATAGATTGGACTGGATGAAATATTCCAAAAGTATCCCATCGAGACATCTATAAAACTAGTTGGCTCCTTAAAGCCTTCAATGAAGAATTACAAGTAAAAATTATTGAACAAGTATATCCTCTTTTTAAGGATGAACAAACTTGTCAATTGTTATGTCCCAAAACCCTTAAAAAATATAGGAAAAAAGAATTTAATTTTATTCACCTTGGGTTAGTATAAGTGGCAATTAAACCATTAACCCAACAAGGAAAAAATTCAGCAGCCTTGTTAACTTTGAGAGATGTCAGGTTTCTAAAATATGAACCTAGTATCATTGGCATAATGGAAACAAGTCTCCATAAAGGACTAGTTTATTTTAATTGTTTTACTGATTTTATCTTAAGTTTAGGATGCAAAAACACTCATTTAGCTTTGACCTTAGGAATAAAGCTTACAGGAAGCATCACTAAATTGGTAAAAGAAACTGAATCAATAGTACTTATCTACAGGATTTACTATAAATGCATTACCACAAACCTGAATGTGCATGCATTACAGAAAAGTCTTTTAAGAAGCACTAAACTGATTCAAACCAGTACAAGTCAATCTAATATCCAAGCTCCTAAGCAAATCATTTGGAAGGATATAACGCTCCCAGAATCTTGGATAGTAAAAAATGACAACCATGATAAAGACAGTGAAAACACCACTACAAATGTAGAAAGCATCCACCAATTATCAGATGGCTTAATAAGAATCTCCTTTGATTCTGCAAGATCCAGTAGATCAAGAAGACCTATTCAAATTAATGAAGGAAGAAAATTTGAATCTAGTTCTAGACTCTCAAAACGAGATCAAGAAATAGATAAAGAAATTCAAAGACTTTTAAAATTAAAAGGAATTGATAATTCCTCGTCACAAATAAGTAAGTCGTGTTATATTCCACATCAGAGTATTCCACAACCAAAACCAGAAGAAGATGATGAAGAAGAAGACTTCACCCTTTTTCCTACTGCTAGTGACCTCCAGAGTAACGTTCCGGTAAACCACCAGCTGCTCATGATTAAGAAAGAGTCTAGTACCTTATTCATGCCTAATATGAATAGATTAAAAATAGACTTTGAATCATCTGAAAATGAATCTAAAAGACATAAGTACTTTAAAAGATTCAATTCACAACAACAGATAGAGATAAGAAAACAATGGGTTAAGCTAATGTATAAACTAGATGATAAAATCCTATTCTTTGATTATCTTGATAACTTCCATAAAGAGGTTAATGTTGTTACACAATATATGTGGAAAATAGAAAAATCCACTATATCATCTAGTCACCCTCCAGTAGAAACCATAGTCATTAACCATGGTGGACCTGTAGTTGCCTCACCTTTCAAACTCTCCACTGATGAGTCTGAGAAAAAAATTGTTGAACAAAATAATTTTACTAACCAAAGCTTAATTACTCTAGGCAAATAGTTAGATAAAATTGAAAATAAAATTGATGAAATTAAACCAGGTACTAAATTAGAACAACCTCTAATTCACCTACCTGAAGATCGTAGTAAATTAGGAGTTAAAGATAGTCAGAACATTGAGAAGATTGAAAAACTTATTTCTAAAATGAAGCTAAAAGAATCATCTTCCAAAAAGAAAGAAGGTCCTTCTCAAGTTACTGTTATTAATCAAACTTCTAATGATTCATCAGATGATTGGTCAGTAAGTTCATCTGATTCTGAAATTAATAAATTAGAAGAACAGTTTGGTAACCAACATATTAACAAATTGACTTTTTCAAATGTTAATCCAACCAGTTTTAGTAAAAATTGGTATACCAGACCAACACCACCTGATCTTCAATTTGAAGAAAAAAATATTAGTAATCAGTTTTCTATTCAATCTAACAAACTCTATGAATGGAACATAGATGGTTTAAGTAAACAAGAAATCCTGAATAAAATCAACCAAATGTCCATGATTATTAGCAACTATGTCACAAACATTGACCAAAATGAACCTGAGATAGTTGACCTTATTGCCTCAGGATTCACTGGTATGTTACATAGTTGGTGAGACAATTATCTCACTCAGAAAATTAGAGATGAGATTAAGTACACTGTTGTCAAGGATGATGATGGTATACCTGTATTTGACTAAGCTCTTGGCCAAGGTAGACCTGATGGTATCAATACTCTCATTTATACCATTATTAAACATTTTGTTGGCACACCTAGTTCCATTGAAGCGAGAATTCATGACCAACTTAGTAACCTTAGGTGCCCAACACTAAGTGACTTTAGATGGTACAAGGATGTGTTCATCTCTAGAGTCATGCTTCGCCCAAATTGCAATAAGTCCTTCTGGAAAGAAATATTTGTTAATGGCCTCCCCAATCTCTTTGCCCATAAGATTAGGGATGCACTTAGTAAAGACACAGGAATCATAGAGTATGATTCTCTTACCTATGGTAATCTTGTTAGTACCATCCAAAAGGAAGGTCTTAAAATGTGTATTGACATTAAACTTAGTAAACAATTAGCCAATGACAAGAAAAAGGCTAAATATGAAATGAAAAATTTCTGCGAGCAATATGGTCTCCCTTCAGTAGCACCATCTGCCAGCAGAAAACACAAAATCCATAAACCTAATTCCCGCAGCAAAAGTCATTACTCTCGTAGTAAACAGACTTTTAGCAAACCTAGTTTTTATGAAAAATCTAGAACAAAACCCCGAAAATCTTATAAGCACAAAACTTA